AAAAAAAAAAAAACCTGTTGTAGGAATCAGCAGATGGTGTAATGATTATGTCGATGGACTCCTATGTAGTCAACCATGGTTCGAGTCCCGGACTTGGCAGCTTAAAACTCACATTAGGTGCATGTGCATGTATGCTCAAAATGCCAAGAGGAGAATGAAGGATAAGGGATTGTGGTGTGGCCATCCCCCCAAGGGGTGATTTCTCGCTGTCTGTCTCTCTCTGTCTCTCCAGTGAGAGCACATACCCTATAGCCAAAAAAAAAAAAATCTCTTAAAAATAAAATCTTGTGTGGATGTTGTGTTTCTCTATATATATCTCTTGTAGAAGAAGTAAATAAACAAACTTAAAACATAGACAACCAGAAAACATACAGAAAATCCTAGACACCATTAAATGACTGAATATCTGTATAATGGGTATTCCAGAAGGTGAAGAGATAGGTAAAGGTTTAGAAAATCTCTTTCGGGACCAGCAGGTGGCATGGTGGTTAAGGTACTGGACACTCCCACATGGCCAAGCACGGTTCAAGTCCCAGATCTGGTGGCTTCCTTTGTCCCTTTCCCCTCACTCTGTGTGTGTGTGTGTGTGTGTGTGTGTGTGTGTCCCTCTGTTCAAATTAAAATAAATGAATGAATAAATAAAATTAAATAAATAATTTTTAAAAAGGAAAAGAAAATCTCTTTCATGATATATTAGTTGAAAACTTCCCAAACTTAGAGAGGCATACAAAAATCTAAATCCAGAAACTACAAAGACTACCTACCACATGGAGCCAGCAGTTGGTGTAATGGCTATGTCACTGGACTTCCATGTAGTTGACTGCAGTTCAAGTCCTGGACCTGGTGGTTTAAACTCACGTTGAGTGTGTGTGTTCATCCGTGCCCAAGATCCTGAGAGGAGAATGAAGGAGAAGGAATTGCGGCATGGCCATCCTCCTGGGGGGTGATTTCTCACTTTCTGTCTCACTTTCTATCTCTCTGTCTCTCTCCGTCTTTCTGGTGAGTACACATATCCTACAGCAAAAACTTCTCCAAAAAAAACATCATTTCCAGATAAACACAAGCTGAAATAATTCATCAAAAGTAGACCAGCCTTTCAGGAAATACTTATGGGAACACTACACCTGGAAAACTAAAAGGAGATCATAGAAGCAAGAGAACGCAAAACAAGTAGGAAAAAAGAAGAAGAGCTAAATCCGCACATATTGATAATAACTTTGAAGTTAATGGATTAAATTCTCTGACTAAAAGACACAGATTGGTTCAATGGATGAAAAAACTACCTCTCTATATATTGTATTCAAGAAACACACTTCATTGATAAAGATATACATAGACTGAAAGTGAAGGATTGGATAAAGTAATTTAATGCAAACAAATGAAATAAAGCAGGAGTTGCAACATTGGTGTCAGATAAAATAGACTTTAGGATGAAAAGCATAAAAAGACAAAGAAGGATGCTACATAGCTCTAAAAGGATGAATTCATCAAGAAGATATAAAAATCATAAATATTTATGTACACAATGTCAGGGCATCCAAATATGTAAAAGTAAGACTGCTAGATCTAAAGGGAGATATAGACTGCAACACAGTAATTGTTAGGGATTTCAACACCCCACTATCACCACTGGACAGGTCATCTAGATAAAACAATAAACAAAGAGACACAGGAACTAATCAATACCATAAATCAAATGGACCTGACAGACATATATATATATAGAGAGAGAGAGAGAGAATTTCATCCAGAAACTACAGAATTCACTGTTTTCTCATCTCCATTTTCAAAGACTGACCACATAATGGGCCAAAAAAAACAAGCCTCTATAAATTTAAAAGTATGAAAACTACCCAGTATCTTCTCTGACCACAACAGAATTAAACTCGAAATCAACCACAGAAAGAACCCTTGAAAAATACACAAAAACATAAAAAACTAACCAACCTACTCCTGAATGACTTTTAAACTACTGAAGAAATTAAGACTGCAATAAAAAGATTAATTGAAACTAATGATAATTAAAACACTACTTTCCATAACCTTTGGGGCACAGCAAAATCAGTCATAAGAGCTAAGTTTATAGTCACTAGTGCTCATAAGAAAATTTAAAAAAAGAAAAGTGGCAAATAAATAACTTACATTGTATCTTACGGAATTGGAAAAGCAACAACAACAACAAAACTCAAAAAAGAAGAAGAAAAGAAATAGTAAAGATTATAGATGAACTAGGGAATAAAAGAACTATACCAAAGAAAGCCAATGAAGCAAGAAGCTGCTTTTTTTTTTTAAGAAGATAAATAAAATTGATAAATAATTAGCTAGACTAATCAAGAAAAACAGAAAGGAACCAGCTAGATAAAAATCAGTAATAAATATAATAACATTATAACCAATATTTCAGAAATACAAAAAATTAGGAGATAATACTTTGAGTGACTATATGCTAACAAACTAGAAAACCTGGATGAGATGAACAAATTTCTGGATACCTACAAGTTACCTAGGTTGAATCAGGACGAATAGAAAGCCTGACTATGTCAATAACAAGGGATGAGATTAAATCAGTAATAAATAGTCTCTCAACAAAGAAAAGCCCAGGTTCAGATGGCTTCACTTTTAAAGAAGAGCTAATTTCAATTCCTCTTGAACTATTTCTTCTTTCTTTCTTTCTTTCTTCCTTCCTTCCTTCCTTCCTTCCTTCCTTCCTTCCTTCCTTCCTTCCTTCCTTCCTTCCTTCCTTCCTTCCTTCCTTCCTTCCTTTCTTTTTCTTTCTTTCTTTCTTTTTTAGAGGGAGATTTTGCTATAGGGCACATGCCCTCACCCGAGAGACAATAAGAGACAGAAAGACAGAAAGCGAGAAATCATCCCTCAGGGAGATGGCCACGCCGCAATCCCTTCTCCTCCATTCTCCTTTTAGGATCTTGGGCATGCACGCACATGTGCCCAGCATCAGTTTTAACCCCCCAGGTCTGGGACTCAAACTGCAGTCGACTACATAGGAGTCCAGCAATGTAATCATTGTGCCATCTGCTGATCCCAACCTCTCAAACTATTTCTGAAGATTCAAAAGGAAGAAATCCTTCCAAACTCATTTTGTGAAGCCTCCATCATCTTGATACCAAAACCAGACAAGGACATAATAAAAAGAGAAAACTATAGACCAATAACCCTTATTAATACTGATGCAATTTTGAGAGGAGCTTTTTTTTTTTAAGAGATTTTTGCTATAGGTCACGTGCACTTAGACAGAGAGAGAGAGACAGACAGAAGTGAGAAGATACCCTCCCTGGGGAGAT